TAATTTACCTCTTTTAGGATTGTAGTAATATCATTCTTCCCCTACATGGAGAATGAAAATGTATCCCTTAAAACTAAAGGAAAGTTCTATCTATACTAAGCATAAAATTTTCTTGATCAACTTTTTAAATATTTAAGGTAATCTGAGTACATCTGTATTTATATATATATATATATATACACACACACACATATTTATTACAACTGAGAAAATAGCACTGTCCTTGGTTTTATCATAATGAATTAAAAATATTAAGTTTCCTAATTTATCATGGCATGCAGCAATTTTTATGTTCTTTTTTGGTAACAGTGAGGGAAAAAAACTTATTAAAATATAATGACTTTGGGGTCATTTAAAGTACAGCTAGTGAATGAAACATCTAAAATATAAGTTCATACCACTATTTATACACACATATATATACACATCATTTTTCTCTTTTCAGTAATTTCTTTTTATTATATCTTGTTACATTAACTATATCAAAAATGCTATTACCCTGGAGTCTTTACATTTCATTGAGTCTTTTATTTCTTTATTTTAGTAAAATAGTAATCTCAAATTATTCATTTTAAAGGCATATGTGATCATATATATGTCCCTGAGATTTGCCTAGTTGCACAAAAGTCTCTTCTGCTGGTATACCTTCAGAGGTTACTCAGAGTGTCTTCTGCTCTGGAAGTTTACTTTCATATCATCATCTTCCTACCACAGACATTTATTTACTACTAAAATACATGTTCAGAAATAAAAAATACCTTACTCAGGCTTTCACTTTTAAAAAGGAAAAACTATCACTGTCTCTTGATAATCTCACCTGATGAATCCAAATTCTTTAATGGCTTGGAATGATTTTTGGTCTTAATTATAAAGAACACATAGAGATTTGACTAAAATAGGGAATGAAAATCACTGCAGTTTTATCATACCTGTTGCAGTGGTTAGTACAATTTGAAAGTGGTAAATTTTATGGGCTTCAGTAGACTCAAGGAATATTAAGACTTTTGTTCATTTTTGGAGTATAAAATTTCTCATCTATGGTATAGAGGTTATCTCTATCTCCATAATTGTTTATTTTTTTATTCTGATGATGTTAGTAAATTGCCAGATTCAATAAAAACAAGTTGATTCAATTAGTATAATAATATTTTTATTATTAACTAATTTTACCAAAAGATATCTATGTCAATTACTTCTGTAGCTAAAAGTATTTTCTTTCTGACAAATTATACTATACAGTAAAAGTAAATGCAAACATAATCACCAGTGAAAGAGCTATCTCAGATTTTGTTTGCTCAATAAAGTTTACAAACAAAAATAATTTAGTTGTACCATTATCTAAATCTCTATTTCTGTACTGCCTTCAGAGAGTTACCATGCAATATATTTTTCATTTCGGGAAGCATAATGTCTACTCTAAATCACCACTATTATATGAATACTCATGTACTGTTTATGTGAATAACTTGAAGAATGTTCTCTCTCATTAAGGTAATCAATACAAATTAGGTTTATTTCAGAAAGAAATAGATGAAACTTCCTATGCATTCTGTGATAAAAGAATCAGAATTAAAATACAGCATGTTAGAGTTCTCTTTTAATTTTTACATATCATAGTGTCTCCTGGAGAGCCCAGCAAGCTACTGAGAGTATCCCACCCGAATGCGAGAACCTGGCAAGCTACCTGTGGTGTATTTGATATGCCAAAAACAGTAGCAACAAGTCTCACAATGGAGACGTTACTGGTGCCGGCTCGAGCAAACCAATGAACAACGGATGACAGTGCTATAGTGCTACCCTGTTGGATAAAATATTTCATGTAGGTCATAAGAGCATCTGGGAATATCTAAGCTTCCTTGAGGCTATAAAATGTGTCCTTTAGAAGTCTGTAATTTAAGAGAAATTTTTAAGTTTTTAATGCAAAGGGGAAAATCCTTTACTTGGTTCATATTAATAGTGCTATACATTTTATTCAAACAAAATATTCTTGGGAATTTTTAATTTCTTAATAATCTTAATTTTCTTGATATTTTTTATTTGATTTAATCATTCCTTGCGGCTGCATAGTATTCCATTGTGTATATATAACACATCTTCATAATCCATTCTTCTTTGGGCACCTAGGTTGATTCCATAGCTTAGCTATTGTACTGAGTGCGGCAATGAAAAATGGTGTGCATATGTCATATTGAGAGAATGTTTTTAATGTCCTGGGGATAGATACCCCAAAGTGGAATTGCTGGGCCATATGACAGTTTAATTGTAAGTTTTGTAAGAACTCTCTATACTGTTTTCCACAGAGTTTGTACCAGACAACATTTCTACAACATCGGATAAGAGTTCCTTTTTTTCACTACATTCTATCAACACAGATTGTTCCTACTATTTCTGATATGTTCCATTATCACTGGTGTGAGATTCTATCTAACTGTTGTCTTGATTTGAATTTCTCTGATGATAAATGATGCTGAGCAGTTTTTCATGTGCCTACTGCCTGTCTTCCTCTGAGAAGTGACAATTCATTTCCTCTCCCAATTTGTTGATAGGGTTTTATTATATCTTTTTGTATATCCCAAATAGCAAACCTTTATCTGATGTATTGAATGCAAATTTTTTCCCATTCAGTTAGCTGTCTTTTAGTTTTAGCCCATGATATTTTCTTTTTCTTTTTCTTTTTGCCATGCAGAAGCTCTTCAATTTTATGTAGTTTCATTTGTTTATTTTTTATTTTGTTGTGTTTGCCAGTGATATACGACCATATATCCAAAATACAGATTCGACAGAACTGAAAACATGAGGTGTAAGTGGCAAACACTGGAAGTGTGTAACGTGCTTGTCAAGTGGACAGGTGGGGGTGGAGTGAGGGAGGGATGGGGCAGGAATCTGAGAACACTGGTGGAGGGAAATTGACACTGTTGAATTGGTGTTGAATTATTGTATGCCTAAATTATTGATTGGTGTTGAATTATTGTATTCCTGAAACTCAATTATCAGTAAATTTGTAAGCCATGGCTCTTTAATTTTAAAAAAGTATTATTAATTTGAAACAAAAAATGGACAGCAGTTTAAATTACTAGAAATCCCTGAAATGTACATGCACCAAATTCAGCATTCTACCTGATTTATATGCTCCAGCTAATTAATTTTACATATGAACAGAATAATTAATTTTATTCCACTGCTTATATTATTTATATTTATAATTAATACTGGGCTGGAGCGAAATTAAGTTTAGACTTAGTCACAGGTTTCCATAGTCATTCAAAATTATCAAGAGTTATTTTGGTGATGTTTGTGGTATAGGAGCAAATTTTGAAGGGACATTAAATTGCATCCTCAGAGGAATGTTCAGGTTAGAGATAGCACAGCAGATAGGGTGCTTGCCTTAAATGCAGCTAATCTAGACTTAATAGCCAACAACCCATACTGTTCCCTAAATGCACTGCTGGGAGTGATCCCTGAGTGCCAAGCCAGGAACAAGCCCTGGGTTTTGCTCAAAAACCAAAAACTCAAAAAACAAAAAGTACATAGGCATGTAAACAGATGTTGTCTCAATAAAAGAGTTTTTTAAGGAAGTTTTTCAAAAGTTCTAGAAATTCCAGTTAGATAAATAAGGGAAAGTAAAACAGCCAATTAATACATGTATTTATATGACTAAGAGAATATACAGACATCATTATCACAGGCCCCCTTATTTTGATCAGAAATCGTTTTCTCACTATGCCACTATTAGCAGAATAACTTCAGTTTATCATTGAGATACAGATTTCAGATCTATTCCTAGACCTAACAATAACTTCTAGGATAGGGCCTGGAATGTGCATTTTAGTGTGTGTTCTATGTTGTCCTAGTAGTCAGTTATGTGTGAAAACAGTGAGTATGAGCTTAAAGGGATCTTAAGAAATCAAATAGAAAGAATGGACAGGAACAGCAAACTCTTCCACTTGCTAAGAAAATGTTAACTTCAGGGATAAGTCACTGCTGTTTATGAAGACTGGAAAAAATACTTTCTCTTCATAAAGCGCTGCCAAAACCAAAGAAACTTCTCACAGATTATTGGGTATACCTTTTTCAGTAAATCAAGTGGCTAAAAGAATGCAATCTGTGAGAAACCTAAAATTCTCAAGACAATTTCCTTATTTTTCTTTATAAAAATTAAATAACATTTATTCTAGGATGACTCTAAAGTACAATGAGAATGGATATCAATTGTAGCTTTGTTCACCGTTTTTACTGATATCAAAATTAGTCTTTGGAATGGAGAGATAGTTCAAATCACTAGTGTTCATGCTTCGCATGGCAGGGGCCTGGGCTCCAGTGCAGCATGGACCCCCAAGCACTTTCAGTAACAACCCCTAAGCTTGAAACAAGAAGTAATTTCTGAAAACAAAGCCCCAAAACATTTAATTTTGCTAAAAATTGAATTTCTGAATACAGTTGATGAAGGAAGATTAACAAAAACTATCCTTCTTAGTAGACAAATGTTGAAGTCATAGTATTTATCTTTCACCCCTGCTGTGAAGGAATTTCAATGTCAAATAAAATACATATCTTGACTTTTCAGTACATAGTTGTTTACTTGAAGATCTCAGTCATGTTTAACCCATTTTATATTCACATCAAAGAGTTACTTTATATTTATCTTTCCAATTCACTAAAATTACATTAACTGAAATCAAAAATATGGAAAAACCATGAGTATTAATTTGGATTATTCAAAAAGGAAAACTAAAGGTAAATTAGAAATGTGAATAAAGAAGGAATTAGAACACTCATTGGAAGTTTCATTTTTTAAATTTTCCCTTCGAATTTTAGTGCCTTTATGAAGCAGAAAAAATCTATTTCCTTTCAGTACCATACCCTCTAAAAAATATTTCATAAAACCTTAATAAGATATTTGAATTGATACACTTCTGTGCTTCCTGATTTAATTCTCTTCTTTCATTTATGCATGCTTTGAAAGCCTCAATTATCTTTCAGGTAAAACTGGTAAGGAGAGCATGGAGACAAGAAATGAAACATTAAGCACAGACTTCATTCTCCTGGGTCTTTTCCCTGGAATGAGACATACTGGCATCCTTGTCTCTGTTATCCTCCTCATCTATACCATTGCCATCACAGGAAACACCACCTTGATTCTTCTTATCTGGGCAGATTCCCGTCTCCATACCTCCATGTATTTCCTACTTAGCCAACTGTCTCTCATTGACCTGGCTTTTATCTCAAGTATAGTACCAAAAATGGCGGTCAACTTTTTCTCAGGGAAAAAGAAGATCTCCCTGATCAGCTGTGGAACACAGATTTTCTTCACTTTGACTCTGGGTATTGCTGAGTGCATCCTCCTGACCCTTATGTCTTATGATCGCTATGTGGCCATCTGTAATCCTCTCAAATACCCGATTATTATCAGCCACAGGGTCTCCCAGCAGATGGCTGTTGGATCCTGGTTGGGAGGGGCTTTAGCATCCTTGGTTCACACAGCCTATTCCATGCATTTCCCTCTCTGTGGGACCCGAGAACTCCACCACTTCTTCTGTGAAGTCAAGGCCATTTTGAAGTTATCCTGTGAGGACATCTCTGCTTATGAGAAAGGGGTAGTAGTGACGAGTATTATCGTGGTTCTTCTCCCCATAAGCCTTATTCTGAGTTCTTACACCCTTATTTTTCTCCAGGTCCTAAAAATGAACTCCCCTGAAGGCAGAAAAAAGGCACTGGCTACCTGCTCTTCACATCTGACCGTGGTCATCTTTTACTATGGCCCAGCCATGCTGATATACATGAGGCCGGGATCTTCCCACACCCCTATCCTGAATCAGGCCCTCTTTATGTTTGACACTATCCTTACACCCATGCTGAACCCACTCATCTACAGTCTGAGAAACAGGGAAGTGATGGGCTCACTAAAAAAGATGTTATTGAGGTGCTCCATTTTAAAATAGATTCCCTGTCTCAACAAGTAGATAGAATATTTCAGAGTTCAAAACTCCTTGGAAGGCAGCAATGTCCAAGGAAATATAATAAGTTCTATTTCATCTGGACAAATGGTGGACTTCTCCCATCCCTGAAATCTAATCATTTTTAAAGTAAAAGGTCAACAAATTCTGAGTACAAAGAAAAAAAAACACTACTTCTAAGAAAATGTAAGCAAATGTGATGTAAAGCACAACGGTTAGCTATATGAAAATAAGCTTTCACTTAGTACCTATGTTTTCTTTCCTTTGCTTAAATTGTAGCTCTTCCTTCTTTTAGGCATATCAAAATATATAAGGAAATTGTAAAACTCTTGGGAAGAATATACAGAGGATTGTGTGAGACCACATTCCTTTATATTTTATTACTACCAACCCTCCAAATGTTCATTAATTTCAGAATTCTGAGTAAATAAAATAAAGTGAGAAACCAGCACTTACTAAGAATTATCACTTTTGTGCATTCAGTGACACAAGCTGTGCCCAATTATCATAAATCTCTTTCCCTTTTCTTCTTTCACTCACATATCTATAATTACAATTGTTTATTCATTGGGCCTTTACATCACTGTTGTTTATCCAATGAATCACTGTAGTTTATCCATTCTACTATCAGTATGAATAGCTTGCCCGGAGAGCCCGGCAAGCTACCGAGAGTATCTCGCCCGCAGCAGAGCCTGGCAAGCTCCCCGTGACGTATTCGATATGCCAGACACACTAACAACAAAGTCTCTAATGGAGATGTTACTGGGCCCACTTGAGCAAATCGACGAACAACGGGAGGGCCTTTACCTTTAGGGCTGGAGCGATAGCACAGCGGGTAGGGCGTTTGCCTTGCATGCAGCCAACATGGCCGACCCTAGTTCGATTCCTCCGCCCCTCTCGGAGAGCCCGGCAAGCTACCAAGAGTATTCGATATGCCAGACACAGTAACAACAAAGTCTCCAATGGAGACGTTACTGGGCCCGCTCGAGCAAATCGATGATCAACGGGAGGGCCTTTACTTTACTTTACTTTACTATCAGTATGATTTTCCTGTGCACTAATTCTTGTTTAAGGGTTCATTCATTAGTGATCACCCACATCCTATAAAATAAACTAGATCTCTATGAGGCAGCAAGCAAATCTAATCCCAGTTCCACTGTCTGTCTAACCTGCCCTCTACCAATCTCAATCGAATACCTCAAACTCTGCACAAAATTCTCTGCTTCCTCCCTGGTTGTCTTGATTATTCTCAATGTTCCCCAAAACTAATATTTGTTCTATTCCATGTTACATGCTCACAATTTGTATCTGATTACTGTACTTTTTTTTTGGAGCCAGTTATTCTATTCATCCTCCTAAATTTATAAAAGAAAGGAATTTCCCTAGGACATATTCTTGGGATTTAAGTTTTTCATATCAGCCTTCAAAGAGTCTAAAATTACCTATTCTAATATTGTCTTCATTTTTTTGTACAAAGGAAGAAACTGAGATTCTACAGGGTTAGTGATTTATTCAAAGTTATAATAGTTCTAAATAACAAAGTTAGGGCAAAGTCAAGTTGTCTGCTAATTGATAAAGATCATAGGAATTGTAAGGTAAAAGGTAAAGGTAAAGGCCCTCCCGTTGTTCGTCGATTTGCTCGAGCGGGCCCAGTAACATCTCCAATTGGAGACTTTTTTGTTACTGTGTTTGGCATATCGAATACGTCACGGGGAGCTTGCCAGGATCTGCCATGAGGGCGAGATACTCTCAATAGCTTGCCGGGCTCTCCGAGAGGAGCGGAGGACTCAAACTCGGGTCAGCCATGTTGGCTGCGTGCAAGGCAAACACCCTACTGCTGTGCTATCGCTCTTGTTGAATACAAAAGAGGATGTCAGAACTTGATCTAAGGGGAGGAATAATTTTATCCCTTCATATGGTGATCTCAGATGAACTTTTTGATTGTTCTTGTAGTCTTATGTTTCTTCACATGTAAAAATATAAGGAATAACATTTATCTTTTGAGATATTTTAAAGAATTTGGAAATACATCCATAAATAATTGCTATTCAAAAATTAAATGTATTAAATTACCATTCTCTCACTCAAAACAATAAACTCATACCTTTGGAAGGTATGAATCATTCAAAGTCTTTACTTCAGGTATTTGCTTAATTTCCTTTATTCATATGTTACATCAATTATATGTAAATATGCACCCAAATTATGCTTACTCAATATTATTGTTATAATGATGCATTTGAAAACCACTAGATTCATGATTATAATAGTAAAAATATAGATACAGAATTTATGAGTCACAAATCATCAGTTAACTCCTCCTCATTAATTTAATTTTCATGAAACTTAATGACTCTGGCAATGTCATGGAAATTAAGAGATAGATCAGAGACTATCCAAGTCTTTCACTTTCATTTTTTACATTTTGCTTTATACAATGTAGTTTACAAAACTTCTAATGATACAGTTTCATATATAAAAATTCCAGCATTGGGCCAGAGCAATGGGTAGGGTGCTTGCTTTGCATGTGACTGACCCAGGTTTTTATCATGAGTGAGTGTTGGATATTCTCAAACTTTCTCTGTATCTTTTGATATGACCATAGAATTTTTATCTGTCCTTATTTTGATGGGCTGGAGCGATAGCACAGCAGTAGGGCGTAGCTTGCACGCAGCCAACATGACGGACCCGAGTTCGATTCCTCTGCCCCTCTCGGAGAGCCTGGCAAGCTACCGAGAGTATCTCGCCCGCTCGGCAGAGCCTGGCAAGCTACCTGTGATGTATTTGATATGCCAAACATAGTAACAACAAAGTCTCAAATGGAGACGTTACTGGGCCCGCTCGAGCAAATCGATGAACAACGGGAGGACAGTGACAGTGACTTATGTTGATGTGCTGTTCTATGTTAATTGACTTGCAGATATTAAAACATATTTGCATCTTTAGTATGAATCCTATTTGGTTATTCAGAATGAGCTTTTTTATACATTAGTGGATTCAATTTGCTCACAATGAGATGCAATATACCCATTTGCTGTGTGTCGTACTCAAAAGGAGAATAAAGATCTGTAGAGATAGGTTATACAGTTTAATACATCATGTCTAACTCATTTAGTTTCATGTTGAAAATCTTGATTTCCAATTTTCTAAGAGCACCATAATAAGAGTCAGCATTAAGATCTGTAGAGATAGAGCATAGAGTTTAACATTATGTCAAATTCATTTATTCCCTTGTTGAAAACCTTGATTTCCAATTATATAAGAGCCCTGTAACAGGAATCCAAATCAGTCCTCCAATATATTTTCTATAAAACTTACCAAAAAAGTACTAGAACAATTCTGCAGATACCATTTGGAGAGTTTCTTATAACAATATAGTTTGAGTATAGTTTCTTTCCTAAAAACACAATCTCAAACCTACACATTTATTTACATCCTCAAGTCTTCTATACATTCCTTTACGTTCATTCTGTCCTGTAACCTTTTTGCATTCCATTTCAAACCCAGCTTCACTTGGACTGGATTCCTTTCTTTTTCCCACTGATATCTCCATCCATTATCTTTCTTACTTAAAATATAGTAATATCGCCCAGCAACCAGACCTGAGCTCATCCCAGCATTCCGCAGGCTGTATACCCTGCCCTCCACTGCCACCTTCCAGTGCCTCCACTTCCCTCTCCCAGGTGCGTCAACTGCCCTAACTAAGTACCCCAGTCCCCACGCCTGCACACCAGCCTGGCAACTGGACCTGAGCAGGCACCAGCATCAAATGGGAGGGGGGGTGGCCCCCACGGATGTGGGCGTGGCCTCCGCAGTAGTAGAGTTTTAGTCTGGTTGATCTATAGAAGTGATAGGGCAGTGTTGAAGTCTCCAACTACTATTGTGTTACTATCAATGTCCTCCTTGAAATCTATTAGCAGTTGTTTTAAGTATTTAGCTGGCTCTCATTGGATGTGTATATGTGTATGAGTGTGATTTCTTCCTGTTGTACATATTCTGATTATTAAAAAATGGCCTTCGCTATCCCTTCTAACCTTTTTCAGCCTGAACACTATGTTGTCGGATACTAGTATGGCCATCCTGGCTTTTTTGAGGGAGTTGTTTGCTTGATGAATTGTTTTCCATCCTTTGACATTGAGTCTGTGTTTGCTCTGACTGTTCAGATGTGTTTCTTGTAGGCAGCAGAATGTTGGGTTCAGTTTCTGAATCCATTTAGCCACTGTGTGTCTCTTAATTGGTGCATTTAGACCATTGACATTGAGAGAGAATATTGTCACTGGTTTTCTTTTTAATTTTTTAATTTTTATTAGTGAGACACCATAAGGTACAGTTGTAGACTTACAAATTTTTCTGCTTGGGTTTCAATTATACAATGATCAAATACCCATCTCTCCACCAGTGCCCATTTCCCACCACCACGGATCCCAGTATCCCTCCCACTCCCCATCCCCCCATTCCACCCTACCTCTGTGACAGGGAATTTCCCTTTGTCCTCTCTCTCCTTTTGGGTGTTGTGGTTTGTGAAAGAAGCATTGAGTGGCAATCATGTTTGGTCTATAGTCTACTTTCAGCATGCTTCTCCCATCCTGGGAAGATCCTCTCAACACCCTTTATTTGGTGCTCCCTTCTCTATCTGAGCTCCCTTTTCCCCTAGCATGTGTGGCTGGCCTCTAAGCCATGGAGCAAAATTCCTGGTACTAATCTCGGCCATTCTTGGGTGTTAGTCTCCCTTTTTGTTACTTTATGTTCCACATATTTTGTGCCATCTTTTTGTAAGAGTTTGTTGTAGGGTTTTTTTCTTGTCTTACAGTAACCCCTTTAGTCCTTCTTTTAAGGTTGGGTTTGAGTCTATGAAGTTCCTGAGTTGTTGTTTATCCATGAAATAGTCTATCATTCCTTTGAGTTTGAGTGAGAGTTTAGCCAAATAAAGTATTCTTGGTGAGGTGTTCATTTCATTGAGCTTTTTCATTGTATCCCACCATTGT